CCATCCTTCTCGCCATCCTCTCTCACTCAGAGCCGTAAGCCGAGAACGTAAGCGTTTCTTTCGCGTGGATAAGACGAGCGCGCGATACAATGATATCGAGGCAATATCGAGGAGATTCTTCGCCTTGAGTAAAGAAGAGGAGTGCCTTATACTTATACGAGTAACTAGCAATTAGATCGGCCGACATGCGCTTGTCGCGCGCAGCGTGTATTGTCGAACACGGTCGTTCCGAGTGGAGGCGGCGGTCAATTAAGAGCGAGTGAACGGGAGTTCGCGAATGACCGCGAGATAGTAATCAACCTGGTCCCCGGATTTCAACGCGTTTATAGTCCGATCGTGAACACACACACACACACACACACACACACGCCTAAAGTCCTGCGCTTACGTCGGACAATTGAGGCGGCGCGTGAACAAACTGCCGTTAACCCTTTCTCGCGGGCAGAATCCCGCAGCGGATGAAAGCAGCGGATTATCGCGCGCGGCCGACAGAGCGAAGGCACGCAGATAGTTTTCACGAGCGTAATCGCTCGGCTCGTGCGTTTCATTACGCAAATTGATGCGATCGGATAGGTAGGTTAGGTACTTAACAGTCACACTCGATAACGTTAATATAACGTACAACAAGTACCAATTGTTAATCCCGAGAGGCATTTGACGTTGCGAATGCGAAATTTCGGCCGCGGCGTTCTCACAGCGGTGTGGGCGCTGCTATAATTTTACGACGAAAATGCCTCCTCTCTCTCTCTCTCTCTCTCTCTCTCTCCCTTTTGCACAAGCATAACGCTGCTTCCTTGAAAATTATTGGTACTGAGAATGATGAGTGAGCAGCTTTAAAAGTTGGAAAATTGGGGTATATTACAAGTATACCCCGATCGATCGAAGATGTGTCATGTGTGCGGTGTACAATAGAAGCAGGCGCGTATAATTGAACGAAATAGATGATGCGTCGATTTATAGCCCAGCTGGGTGTGGGAAGGTGAGGCGAGAACTCTTGTCGCGCGCGTAATGCAAGCGCCATTATATCGAACACCGCGCGCCTGGTGTATATTTTGTTTGTTACGCAATGTCTCGAATCTGCAAGAATCTGCTTCAGGCCGCAACCGTCTTATCGTCTTTCTCTCTCTTCTTCCTTCCCCCCGCCCCGCTTTCCCTCACTCTCTCATTCTGTCTGAGGTAAACGTGACTTGTCGCGCAAACGCCAACTTTCTTCGCCGTTCTGGAAAGTGGTGTATCGAGCCAGTCCCACAAGCAACTACTCCAAAGTGTTCCACGTCGTGTTTTAGCGGCGTGCAAAATTTCGTTTGTTGATTTTAAATATATAATGAGCAGCTCTTTCTCTCTCCTTGTCTTTGCCGACTGCGCAAACGACCAAGCGCAACGCGACACGCGCTTGCATTGCGACGCGTTATCGTCATATCATCGCCCCGTCGTCGTCGTCGTCGTCCTACTAAAAAACATGCGAAACTTGAAGCGCACGTGCATCGAATCGTTGATCCGTGAAAGACGTTCGTTAATAGTATGTCGCGATACTACTAATCCCCTCGTACACATTGCCGGATATTTGCGTTCTGACTAACGTGACACAGGCGTGAGATAAGATTATAGTTTATAGCGAAAACGAGAGATTCGCGCGTGGCGCGAACCGGCGCTATCTAGCGCTGTACTGTACTCGC